AGGAATTCTGAGAAGCTAGAGAGGCCTGGCTACTCCCCACCCCTACCCCGGCGAGGAGCAGCTGGATGGAGCAGCTGGAAAGAGGGGACCCAGGAGTCTGGAATACGGTCATTTGAAGGAATGCTTGGGGTTCAAGGGCCAGAGCCTCAAAAGAGGGGAGGGGGCCCAAGGAACAACACGGGGTGGGCAGGTAGGCCCGAAGGACATGTCAGTGGGAAGGGGTAGGCAGGTGCCCAGCAGATTCTTTTCCCCTTCCCCTCGACCTGGGCTCTCAGCCAGGGGCCTGGGAGAGCCCTGTCTCCTGGCTCCATTTCAGCTAATTCTCTGGACACCCTCCCCTGGAGAACAGGACTTGAAGGAAAAGCTTTTTGAGAAACCAGGGCCCTTTTCTACCCATCAAAGCCTCCTCTCCTCCTGCAGAGAGCAGGGAAGACTGAGGCCGGAGGTGAGCCTTCCCCATTTCTCAAGCCTGACATTCCATACTGTATCCGCCTCTCCAGGCTTCAGCTCTGCCTCATTCCAGGAGGAAATCCGACCCCCTCCCTTCATCCGGACCCCACTTCCCTCAACCAGACACCCCCCCACCCTGGTTTTCCTGTCAGCTCCTTGGTGGAGAGGAGTGGAGAGCACGGTTTCAGGCAGGGATGGGGCCCAGAGGCGACAGAGGGAACGGTAGCTGGGGTGGTGGGCGCAGGGCTGGAGTGGGCGGAGGCCCCCCCGCGAGAACCCAGGAGTCAGAGTCTAGCTCTCCCACCCTCTCCCGCTGCAAGAGCCTCCCCCGCCCCCACCTCACACACCCACCTGGGCCCGTGAGGCGCCGGGAGGCTTGCTTCACGGCTACCAAAAGGTTAGATGAGGAGGGGGTGACCGGGGATGGGCTGGGGATAGGAGCGGCCGGAGGTCTGCTGGACGGGGACCCAGGCACCTGCCCTCCCAGCGGGCACAGCCCAGAGCCAGCTAGCCAGCTCAGCATGGCTCCGCCACCACAGCCCTGCCATGCGCTTTGGCTGGGAATCACCACGTACCCCTTTTTCCAGAAACCCCCAAACTGCAGCCCCTACCCCCTCAAGGGCCGACAGCGTTTCTTCGGTACACCCCCAATTCTGAACCCGGGGGGCCGGCCGGGGGCTGTCAAGCTCCAGGACGAAGAACCCCATTCGAGCAGTCAATCCGCCCACCGCCTCACCCCCTCCCCCTCCCCCCTTCCAGCCCAGCTCAAGGCGCCCAGCCCCCGTCCGGGTCCAAGGTGGCAGCCGGTGCTGGCGCCCCCACCCAGCCCGGGTCCGGAGCGAGGAACCCGCAGGGGGCTGCGGAGCGGGCGCCCGCCCCAGCCCGCCCCTGGGCGGGTGTCTTCGGTAGACAATGGCTCAGGCAGCAGCGCCTCGCGGACCCGAAGAGAGAAAAACAAGGCGAGAGGGGGCGGCGGCGCGGAGCCCGGGGACCCCCGCTCTCCCCATTGTGTCTCCCCAAGACCCCCGCCCCGGCAGTCGCCCTCTCCCTCCCTCCTCTCCCCCGTAAGCGCCGACCCGAAGTCGCCGGGCTCCCCCCACCCAAACCCAGGGAACAGAGTACCCCCAGTTCACGAGCGCCGCGAAGAGGGGGCTGGCGGGCGGGGGCCCGATCGAGGGGGCGCAGGCCCGCGATCGCTGCCCCTCCTGGCCGAGACTCACCCTGCGGGCTGGGGGGCTCCGGCGGCGACTTGCCGGGAGCCCGGGAGGCGCCGCCGAGCAGCAGTCCCAGCAGCGGCAGCAGCCGCGCGAGGACGCTGGGGCCACTCGGCGGCGGCATCGCGGGGCTCGGCCGGGCCCTAGCGGCCCATGGCTCCCGCCCGGCCCCGCTCGGCCGGCCCCGCTCAGCCCCAGCTCTGCGCCGCGCCGCGCCTCTCGGGCTCCAGCTCTGGCTGCGGCGGCAGCTCGGCGCGATTGTCTCCGCCCGGAGCCGCCGCCAGCGCCCCCTGCAGGCGGCGCCCCACCCCCGCGGACCTCGGGGCGCCGCCCCCTCACCGCCCTGCTCCGCGCACCGCGCGCGGGCCCTGCCCGCCCTCCGCCCACCCTGCAGACCTCACCCCGCGCGCCCAGACCAGAGCTGCAAGGGAGTGCGACGGACCTGGTCTAGTCACCCGGGTTCCTGGAGGTCCGGAGCCCTCGAAATTTGGTGGAAAATTTGGGAGGGAGGAGAGGCTACTGCTTACAACACACTCAAAGAGGTGGTACGGTCAGGAGCGTCTCCAAAAAGTGTAGGAACTGCCCTGTTCTATCCGCACAAACGCCTACGCAGTGGGAATCGCTCAGTCCCAGACTAGCTTCTGCCTCTTGAGCCGTGAGCAAGTTACTTCGCCTTCTGGTCCTCGGCCTTCCTTTCACGTGAGAATTGTAATAATCTCTACCTCGTGGGGCTGTTGTAACAACGGTTAAATGTGATGATGATATAAAGGATTTGCCATATGCCTGACAGGAGCAGGGGCGCAATCAATGGTGTTCCTGTCCGCCCAGGTTGACATGGAGGCTCACCTCTGCTCAGGTAATGAGATCATTGTTGGATGGTCATAATGTTTGGGAATTTCTTCTAGAGATGCAAGCGGCCTTTTCCTTTCCCCTAGAATCACCCGTCGGTCCCACTGGTTCTGGTTCATGAGCGCCAGTCTTTTCCTTCTTCCTCCGCCACTGAACCCCACATTTTGAACCCCACATTTGAAGCCTGACCTAGGCCCAGCCAAGCTCACTTTCTTTCCAGTTTCTGGTTGTCATCCTCATTCAGCTTCCGGGCTGCCAAATCCTCATCTAATTTGATATTACGCTCTTGCTTTTCCCTGGCTTTCACCTGCTTCTCACGATGTGGTGCCCCAAAGGGGACTGGATACCTAGAGCAAGGACCTTGTCCCCCAGAAGACAGCAGGCTCCTCTCTTGGTTGGGTCCCCTGGTTGGCTCTTCTGACTTAAGGGTACCTTGTTGTAAGTTTGTGATACCAGATTCTTTTTCTCTTCCTCTCCCTTTTTCCTTCCCTCCTTTCCTCCCTTCCTACTTTCCTTCCCTCCTCCCTCCCTCTCTTTCTTGTCTTTCCCTCTCCCCTTCCCTCCCTCTTTCTCCCTTTCTTTCTCATAAATTTCCATCTAACCAGATTTCCCAGCCCTCTTCTTATGTAACCAAATTTTCACAATCTCAGCACAGGATTTAGCACTCATCCCTGGTGAATTTCATCTTGTTGGTTTCAACCCAACTTCACAATCTGTCCAGGCTGCCTTGAATCGGCTGCAGTCACCCATTGTGTTGGAGTTCCCTCACAGCCAGCAGCCGTCTTTGGGGTGGGAGAGCTGCTTCCCTGCCTCCATGGAGGGGACTCAGGACAGTGCTAGGCAGCTCAGGGCTGGGATAGAGCTTTGGAACAACCTCATAGGGATCTCCTTCAGCTTTATCAAAATTGTTCAGATTTAAATCCAGCTCATGTTTCTGTCTTGTCTATAAGGGCAAATGCCAAATGCTTTGCTGGATCAAGATCGGCTGTCTGGTGCTATCCAGTCACGATGGTCGGGTGGAGAGGGAGTCTGGCTGGTGTGTAAGGATCACAGCAGCTTAATCTTTTCCTAGGAAAAGTCACCCAACTAAAAACCTGTTCTGGAACTTGCCATGCATGGATGTCGAATTGTTTTCTTTGCAAAATTTACCTTCTATCCCTTTGGGTAAAATCAAATACCAGCCGCGCTTGTGAGGTAAGTCTGTTCCTCAGTGGCTTCCCCCAACACCTGGCATCTAGTCCCAAGTCCTACCCATGGCCAAAAGGTGCTGCCCTCCTGCCTCCACCCCTGACCTCATCTGGACCATGCTGGCCTCTGGTCCATGGGTCTCCTTGCTTTCACTTCAACACCTCAAGCCTGCTCCCACCTCAGCGCCTTCTCAGCTGTTGCTCTTTCCATCCAGGTCACGCTCTTATTCCTGAGCAGCCACGAGGCTCATTCATCCCTCTCTCTGTTCCCCTCATCAGAGAGGCCTTCCCTGACCGCTCTACCTAAAATGGCAGCCCTCTCCCACGTAGTTCCACCAGAATCTCGTTCCCTCAGTTCTTCCTCCCAGTACTGACCACCACTGACCCCACATTTACATTCTCGTTTATTCTTTACCCCTGGTCGAATGTAAGTCTCACAAGGGGCCAGAACTTGGCTCTCTTCACTGTTCCATCTCAGCGCTGGGAGAGTCCCAGGCACATGGGAGGGGCTCAGTCAATATTTACTGAACCCATCAATCAACACATTTCTCAGGACTCCAGGTGGACGCCCCCTTCCCATCTATCCTGGGACTCCAGTCTTGGCAGGCAGAGAAGGGAGAGTTGTATTCTGCTCCTGGCGCCCCTGCCTGGGGCCCCCTTTCCTAACTGAACAGCTTCTCCTTGATGGGGAGGAAGGGTAGCTGGACAGCAGAGCCTGCTCTCCTCTCCCTGGTGCGCTTCTCTCCCTGGACAGCAAAGCCTTTTCTCCTCTCCCTACCTCAGGCTGAGGGCTTAGTCGGCTTCCCTCTGCCCCCTCCTCACTTTGAAGCTGGCTTTAAAGGCTTTTTGTTTGTTTGTTTTTTTAATGGGAGTGGGGAGTGCAGGTTATGCTCCCAAATCCCAGGTCCACTTGAGAATTATCTCTCCAAAATCATGAAAGAAAAAAAAAATACTGTTTAGCTGTCCACCAGAAAAATAAATAAATAAATAAATAAATAAATAAATAAATAAGGCTGTCCACCAGGGACCAGCCTGCCTTCTCTGATGCTCCCAGCTTCCATTTGCACCCAGCTACCCTCGGACACCCCATCCCCCTCCAGTCTCTCTTGGGGTCTCTCCCACCCTTTCTCCTCTGTTTTGCCCCCACTCTTTGCTCCCAGAAACTCCCAAAGACAGTAATGGACAACTTTTGTCTGTAATGGGCAACTCTCTGCTCACACATCTGCCAGCCCCCACCCCTCTCTCCAAGCATCACCTGTCTCCGGTCCCCTTCTCTTCACTGACCCAAGAGGAGACAGCATGCTGGGGATTGGAGCTCTTTATTTGGCAGCAGGGAAAGGAGTGGCCAGCTCTCACCAGAGGGGGAGAATACCAGGAGGCCTCCATGGGACAGCTCCCAGCCACGGGTGAGCAGAGCTGGGGGGAGCACCTTGAAGGAGGGGCAGAGCAGACACAGCTCCCAGCCTTCCTCAGAGGACAGGGCATGGGCCAGCCCCTCACTCGTCCTCCTCATCTTCTTCTAGTGGTGGCCGGTTGCGCTTGAAGAAGCCAACCTGGGGGTGCACAGGGGCCGGGGACAGGATGTAAAGATAATCAGTAGGCCTCCGAGCAGCAGTTGAAGAAGCAGGCTAGAAAGCAGCCAGTCACAAGGTCCTCTCCCTAGACCAGCACATTTAGATCCCCCTGCGTGCACAAATGGAGGCCTTCCCCATTCAGAGATAACACATGTCACAAGTTACTTGTTTTTAATTTTTTTCCCCCAAATTTTTTACAAAAGATTACTTATTTGAGAGAGAGAGAGAGAAAGCATGAGCAGGGAGGAAGGGCAGAGGGAGAGGGAGAAGCAGACTCCCTGCTGAACAGGGAGCCCCATGCAGGGGTCAGTCCTAGAACCCCAAGATCATGACCTGAGCTGAAGGCAGACGCTTAACCGACTGAGCCACCCAGGCGCCCTTCCCCTGAATTTTTCTTAAATATTGGCCGTTAGGTCTCTATGCGACTCAAGCTCACAGTGACATGTATTTGATGACTGTAAGTCTAACGCATGATTTTCCCTAAAAGCACCACGACTTCCCAGGGCTTGAGCACTTAAGCGAGTTTGAGAACAGCCCTCCTGGCACAGAGGAGGGAGTGACTCCGCAGGGCCTCCCCAGGGGGTCTGCATCAGACTCAGGGAAGGAGTCCGGAGGTGAGCCCTGTCCTCCTCAGCAGCCAGGGAATTCCTGAAGGCAGGGCTCCCTTCCTGGGACTCTTCCTCTCAGCGGGAAACAGGCTACAAGGCCTTAGGGATTTTAGGTGCCCCTCCCCCAGGGGTCTGTGGCCTGGGAGAGGTTCTCTGGAGAATGGCACTTACTAGCGGAGATGCCGACGGACCCTGGGTCACCATCTCTCTGCCTCCCTGTGAGGTCGGGCAGGGTCAAGCTTGTGCCCACCCGGGGACCCCAAAGTCCCTTCATGCCTCACCTTCCACATGGCCAGGACCAGGAGCGTGAGCAACACCAGGCCGCCGAGCACCCCTACCAGCACCCACCAGATGGGGATGTCCCTCTCCAAGGCGCGAAGCAGCTGCGTCTGCACCTGAGGGCAAACCCACACCTGCCTCTCCCAAAGACTCAGACTTGTGGGCTGAGGACCCCCAGCCAAGCCACCCACCTGTGCCACCCCTCAGACCCGGGGATGCCCCGCCCCCATCCTGTGGGGCATGGACGCTTGGGAAGACAGTGGGTCCGCAGGCCTGTACTCACCAGAGCTTCCCCACTGGGCAGGCTGAGGGCGGGCACAGCGTAGGGAAGGGAGGAGACATTGAACCAAGCTTGCGACTGCAGCACGAACTGATCCAGGGGCCTCTGAACAGGGTGCGGTGAAAGCCATTTACATGGGCCTGCTGGTCCCAGGAGTCCTGGTCCTGGCCTAATCCCGTCCCCTCAAAAGTAAGCATTGCGCTCACTCGCTCTTCACCCCTTGCGGCCCCATCTGGCCCAGAGCAGGCGTGGTCCCTGCCCCCATAAAGCCCCGCCCCGGCACACCCCCCATAAAGCCCCGCCCCTGGCATTCTCTCCGCGCCCCCCCTCCGCCCCGCCCCCACCTGCTGGAGGCTGGACAGCTGCAGGAAGGCCAGCACCCTGACCATGGCCCGCTGGCCTCGTGCCATCTCCCGAAGCTCACACTGCACCACCGTATGCGGCCCCCAGTCGCAGCTCTAAGGGGATGCCTCATCAGTTCCCAGCCCTTCGGACCCCTCAGCCCTCACCACCCCAAGGACTCGATTGTAGAAAGGGGCAGGGAGGACAGGGAGCTCAGGCCGCCCTCCCAGGAAGGACTTCAGAATCAAGCTTCTGCCGTTATCTTTAAACGGGGCTGCTCACAGGGTTCCAGAGATGCAGGGAAAGGGCAGGAAGAAGGGGGTCATCATACAGCATTCAACACCCAGAATTTTTGTAACTCTGCTTTGGCATGTCTTCATTTTCTTTAACGTACTGGGAACCTTTAAAGATTCAAGGACCCCCAGCCGGCCCCAGACACAAGCCCAGCCCCACCCTTCATATTCACCTGCAGTCCACCCGAGGCCTGCATCACACCGTGGGCTCCTCGCCCTGCCTCCCAGAGCCTCTGCCCCTGTGCCCCAGGGAGGCCCCAGCTGGAGACCACGGAGCCTGCTCACCAGGAGAATTGGATCCTGAGGCCTGGCGGGCTGGTCGGACCCTGGCAGGGACGCCTGTCTTCGCTCCCGCTTGTGACGCCCAGGGGAGGTAGGGGAAGGGCTGGGGGTAGGCAGCCTCCAGTTCAGCTGGGGAAGCAAGCAGTTGGTCTGAGCTCCACTCATCCCGCCCCCCAACTCCCGGAGGGGCTCTGGTTGATGGGCTGGGGCCCCACCCACAAGTCTTTCTCTCACCCAGGCTCTCACCTTGTAGGGGTTAGGAGTGGGCTGGGGGGAGCACTGAAGCCCCCCCCTGGGGCTGTATGTCCACGATGTAGAGCAGGTCAGAAGGCTGGGACTGGCCAGGGAGGCAGAGGCTGAGCCGGAGGCCACTCGCAGTGCTAGGGCCGTTGTTGTGGAGCTGGCAGGTGGCGGTGGTCAGATGTCAGGTGGCTCAGCATCCACGGCGCAGCTCCTGGGCCCCTCCCCACCCCAGCCTGGGTCCCGGAAGGCCCTTCACACCTCGTAGGTGTGCTCCACTTTGGGGCCCCAGATGTTGGAGCTGTTCTCCCTGTTGTCTTCTTCGGCTATTACCACCAGGGAGGCTGGAAAGGAGTTCCTGTGGGCCCCGAATCCCTCCAGGTGAGCTTGATCAGCTGAGTCACCTGTAGAGGTTCCCCAAGGCCCTGTGAAGCAAGGGTTCTGCCCACCATCTCCCTGGTCTGTCCCTGGTCTCACCCTCGAAGCTCCACATGGGCCTCTGCCCGGACCGGGACATCCAGCAGCACAGCCTCGCTATTTGGATTCTGGCTGTTCTTGCTGGAGGAAAAGGGAAAAGAAGAAGCAGGTCAGGACACCAGCCCAGTGGACATCACAACTCTCTGGGGCAGGGCCAGAATTTCAGGCATTTGGGGAAGCGCTGACTGCACAATCAGCACGCCACACTGAAGTTAGACCCAGGAAAGACCTTCTAGGGCTCCAAGACTCAGAAACAAGTCTCTGGGGAAGAAAGGGAACGGGGAAGTCTGCAGGGCAGACGTTCCAGAAGATCCTTCTGGAAGGAGGGCCTCTGAGAGTGTCTGCATCAGGATCAACCAGGGGAAGGGTGGTGGGTAGGAATGTTCCCCAACCCAGTACCTTCTGATCTGCAGCCAGAATGACACATGATCGCCGGCCTCTTCCAGGTTCTCCACACTCACCAACATTGTGATTCCTATCTGAGAGACGGCGAGGGCCAAAGTCACAGCCCAGATGCCCACTCTGGGCAGCCTTGTCCCATTATCTCAGAAACCCACTGAGAGAGGGAAGGCCACTGGGCCAAGAACACAGGGAGTGTGAGGACCAGGATTCCCACCCAGAGCTATAGGACTCCAAGCCCAGCCCCTAAAACTCGGCTGTGTCTGAGCCCCTGGTGGCCAGGACCCAGCACCCACGCCATGGGGCCTCACCCGGGCATTCCTCTTCATGGGGTTGCCCAGCTCACACAACACCATCTTGGTCTCATTCTCCTTCTTCTGGTTACAGATGAGTCTCTCAAAGCCCTTCAGGGAGGGAGTTTCATGAAAGAAGATGGTTGGGGTATCTTATGTATATGTAAGTGCTCTCGGAAAGTCCGGAGGGGGCTTGTATGCCGGGGTTGGGGGGGGCGGAGAGTTCCTGCTAACACCTAGCTCCCAAGCCATTTTCATTTTGGGTTTTAGAACAGCCCTCGGATTTTATGCTATTAGCAAATACTCCTTTTCCCAATTAAAAAAAATAAATAAATAACAGTTTTTACAACCATGCCTAAGAGAAGTGGGGCCTCTCAGCTTCGAAAGGAGAGGCAAGGCTCTTGCACTGCGCAGGTCCCTGGGAATGCCCCCGAGGTGGGGCCTCACCTTGACGTCGCTGATGGCCCGCATGTAGTGGGCACCTGCGGGCAGATGCACGGCCAGCTGGGCTTCGTAGGCCCCCTCGCCCTCATTGGCTGCAACCATCCGCAGCTCCAGCACGTTATTGGCTCCGATGAGGAGTGGGGACCCCATCCTACCGGGAGAAAGGAGTAAAGTGGAGGAGGCCTGGCCCCGGGCGCAGGGTCTGGGTGGGGTGACGGGGGCGGCCCCAGGTGGTGAAGGGGCATCATGGGGCCCACGGCCTCCTCACATGCTGGCGGAGAGCTGGAGCTGGGGCACACACACGTCATCTTCCCCACAGTCCAGGATGATGCGGGTCTAGAAGAGGCACAGCGAGGGGTACGGGTGAGTTGGGGACATGTGAAGTTTGGGGGTCACATCAGGGCCAAGGGAATTAGAAGGTCCGAGGATGAAAAGGAGTTTGGAGCTGACACCACAGCTTCAGGATCTACATCAGGGTTTGGGACAATGTCAGGACAGTGACATCGGGGTTTACGGGTTTGTCGGAGTTGACAGGTGACATGAACCACACGTGGGGCTTGGAACAGGGTTTAAGGAATTTTGAGACTTGGGGGTTTTCATTAAGGTTTAGAGAAGACATTGGAGATGAGTGGTCACATCAAGGTTTTGGGGATCCCATTAGGAATTGGACACTAACCCTAACCCTGACTTTCTGGTAGAGGTCCTGCCCCTCCATTGCCCGTTTCCCCCCAGACCTGCTCCTGGACATGGGTGTCTCCATGAAGCACGACAGCAGGGGCTACTCCATCCTTCCTGGGCTGCAAGGACACGTTGAGGCTGAGCACGATGGGACTCAGCTTGTCCCGGAAGTCGGCCTCATCCTAGGGAGGGGACAAGAGTCAGAGCAGGCACCCTGCCAGACATGTCCCATTAACCACCCCCGTACCGCTAGCCCCAGGCCCACAACCCAGGGCTGGAGGAATAGGCTTGCACACCCAGCCCTTCCCATCCCCCCGCCTGGGTGTACTCGGAGGAAAGCCATGGTGGTGTGACAGATGGGGCTCTCTCTCCCGCCCAGGTCCAGACGCAGCGTGGTGTCCACCAGTAGAGAATTCAGCAGGAGCGTCCGTCGGCCCTGGCGGGGCTTCTGCCGGTCCAGCTGCAGCTCAGCGTTTATGGCTGTGGCAAGGCGAGAGGGGAGGGTCAGGGTCTCCCGGGCGGGCCGGCCTCCAGCGGAGCCCAGACACCCCTCCCTTCCGTTCCCATGACGACACTCACGCAGCTGCTGAGGAATGTTGTGCCCAGTGGCTCCTACACACATCTGTATGTTAAAGCTGCAAAGATAGGATTTGGGCTCAGGAGCTAGGGCCCCTGAAGGTCCCAGACCTCACCCGGCCCATCCATGCCCTCTGCCTCCTACCAGGTAACACGCTTCTGGGTCTGGGGCAGGACACAATTTTTCACAGCAGGATTCAGTGAATCTTGTACCAACAGCCGGACACTGGCCATCACCACTGGCTGAGCTCTGGCAGAATGGGGGGAGGCTCACTATTGTGGACCCTCCTGGCCCAGGAGCCTTTGATGGTGTGGACCCTCCCCCACGGTCCCCCTGGAGCCAGCGCTCACCTGTACACAGCCACCTTGTTGGCCCCATAAGCTCCCACCAGTAGGTCTACAGATGGTGGAGGGATCAGAATCACCAGTTAGAGGAGGCTCGGGGTCCTCAGGGGTTCCCACACCATTTCCCCCACTGGAGTTTTGACCTACCCCCCACCCCCAGCCTTCCAGCCTCCCAGACGGGTCAGAAAACTCAGTGAGGCCTCGGTCCCTGACTGTGTCTTTCAGCATCTCCGGCTAATACCCAAGAGCCCTTCTGGGATAGCTGGAGGCATTCCAGGGGTACCTGGGTATCCATTGTCATCGATGTCTGTGGCACCTCGCAGTGAGAAGCCAAAGCCAGAGCCTGCTGGGAAGGGGCTGTCCAGGATCTGGGAGGGGCGTGAGCTCAGCCCCTCACTCCCACCCAGGAACACCAGCACTTGGCCCCGACCACTGGGACCTCCATAGGGGGCGGCCACTGCAACATCTGGAAGGAGCAACAGAAGGGCAATGGCCATTTGCTACCATTTTCTGTTTTGTTATCCAGGTGGCCCCAAGCTCCCTCTCCCACAGACTCCAGGAGACCAGCAGAGGGATGCAAAATTCAGTGTCAAGGAGGCAGCTGCCCTTCCCTCCAGGAGTTTACAACTCAGAACAAAAGAGACCCACCAAGTAGGACGATTATAAAAACAGTAGCAGCCCTTGGTATCTATTGAGGAAAATATATTGACATGATTTCATTTAATCCTGAAAATTGGGCACTATTATTCCCATTTTAGGTGAAAAAACTGAATCCCAGAAGATTAAACAACCAAGACCTATTAAGTAGTGGCCCCCTTTTCCCCTAGGGAACTTCATTCATTTCTTTCTCTCCCTCCGTCCCTCCCTCCCTTCTTTCCTTCCTTCCTTCCAGACTTTATTTATTTAGAGAGAGAGAGAATGCGTGTGTGTGCTAGCAGGAGGAGTAGAGGGAGAGAGAGAATCCCAAGCAGGCTCCACGCCCAGCACAGAGCCCAACTCGGGGCTCTATCCTGTGACCCTGAGGTCATGACCTGAGTCAAAATCAAGAGTCAGATGCTTAACCAACTAAGCCAACTGAAGGCTCCCCCCTTCACCCCATTTCAATTCCACCATGCGAACTCAGAGCTACACTAGGGGCTTGTCATCACTAATAACTTTTAAGATCACTCTTGAAAATGTATTTGTTAATTATCATAATCTTATTAATTTGTAAGAATTCTTTACATGTGACAGGAATAAGAACTTTTATGTATATGTTGTAACTGTCTTTCCTTTGTCTTCTGACTTTGTTTTCTATGGACCTTTTTTCCTTTAAAAAAATCTATTGATTTTTCTGATTGAGTTACGTAGAATTCATCCATATAAGACCACCCTGACCAGTCTCATTCCCAGGCTCTGGGCCTCCCCTCTCTCCTGATCTTTAGCATCTTTTTTTTTTTTTTTTTAAAGATTTTATTTATTTATTTGACAGACAGAGATCACAAGTAGACAGAGGCAGGCAGAGAAAGAGGGGGAAGCTCCCTGCTGAGCAGAGAGCCCGATGTGGGGCTTGATCCCAGGACCCTGGGATCATGACCCGAGCCAAAGTCAGAGGCTTTAACCCACTGAGGCACCCAGGCGCCCTGTGCCCTAGCATCTTTAGAAAAAAAATTTTTTTTAATTTATGTATTTGGCAGAGACAGTGAGAGAGGGAACACAAGCAGGGGAAGAGGGAGAAGCAGGCTTCCTGCCAAGCAGGCAGCCCAGCGCGGGGGCTCGATCCCAGGATTCTGGTATCATGACCTGAGCTGAAGACAGACACTTAATGACTGAGCCACCCAGGCGCCCCTGACCTTTAACATCTTCATCTCTTCCTTATTTCTGACCATTCGATCACCCCGGTCATATCCTCTGCCATCTTACCCCATCGTCAGTCCTCAGCAAGTCTGGCCAGACCTCGGCAGAGGGGGCCCCAGGGATTCCTCGAAGCCCATGGAAACTAGGGATCAAGATGCTGCCCAGCTGTCCTGAAGGGGTTCTGCTCAGCCCCCCCTCCCACTCTGCTCAGCACCTATTTCAAACTTTCTTCAAGCTCCCAGTCCCCTACCTCCTTCACAGAGAGAAGTAGTCCCACTGTTGTGGTGTAAATGCAAACCCACTTTCCTTAACTCCCTGCCACCAGGCTAAACAATCCCAGCCCAGCCTCGCCCACCGAGCATCACAGGGACCCTCCTGCAGTTCACTTCCCTCACCACCCTGTTTCCCCACCAGATCATGGCCTCCACATTCAACCTACTTCATCTGCTTTGAAATAGAATAACCTTCTCTTGAGCCTCCTCTCCTTTCAGGAATCAATCCTTCCTTCCTTCCTTCCTTCCTTCCTTCCTTCCTTCCCTCCCCCTCCTCCCCCACCTCCTCGTCCTCCCCCACTTTCCCCCTCCCCTCCCCCCCAATTCCTCCTCCTCCCCCTCCTCCTCTTCCTCCTCCTTTCTTCTTGTCCTTTCACAAACTGGTTGCGAGAGCTGTCTACACTGCCTGCCTCCAGTTCTTCACTTCCATTCCTGACTTTGCCCCATGGCATTCCGACTTCTGTGCCTACCCAGCCCTGAAACCGCTTCCTCTCATTGTCACCAATGACTTCCTTCTTGCTAAAGCCCACAGAGACTTCTCCAACCCCATCTAATGATGTCTTTCAGAAGCATCTGGAGCCGCTGACCCCCTTCCTCCTGCTCAGAGCACTCTCTTCCTTCAGTTCAGGGCCAAGAGATCTCCTGGTTTCCCTCCTACTTCTCTGGACACTCCTGTCTCCTTTCTACACTCACTTCCTCTAGGAGTCCCCTAACCGCTCTTGCTCCCCAGGGCTTTGTCCGAGCCCTTTTCTTACTTCACAGGTGCTGGGGACCTCATTCACCCTCCTGAAGCCTCTGTCTCTCACTTGGAACTCTTTGGTGCCAGTAGGGAAGGCACATGTGGTTTTTCTCTGGATGTCTGCCTAATGCTCCCAAGTCCTTCGAGGTCAAACATGCCCAGGGCTGACCTGCTGATCTCCGCCCCCCTGCCCTCCCCTTCCCAGTCCCGCTACTTGGCCTGAGTTACAGGCAGTGAAGGCACCACACCCCCTCAACTCCCGGCTTTCTCTTTGCTCCACATCCAGCCACCCATCAAGTCCTAATAGTCCAGGTACTAAATACCTGTGAAATCAACCCATCTCTAACCCCACCGCCAAAATCCACAGCCAGGTGGTCACCTTCTCTTGCCTGGATGGATGCAAACAAACCCTAAGTGGTCCTTTTCAACTCTTCTCCCCAAAAGCCCGGTTCCCGGCTCTGGCGATGCTCTGATCAAATCTATGATCTTTGTTACAACTGTTAACCATTTCGCAGCAAGTGCGGCTCCTCTCTTCCCTTACCATTGTAGCCATCCCGGTCGAGGTCGCCCAGGGGTGCGATGGCTGAGCCAAATCGCCCGTAGAGCTGAGTGCCGGTCAGCAGGAGGCTGGGGGTGCCCAGCACGTGGTGACCTCGAGGCTGCAGGAACAAGTACACGCGCCCCACCTCGGCCAGTTTGTGGTCAGCGCGGCTCTCCATGTACAGTGGCGCGCCCACCAGCAGGTCGTGCCTCCTGCAGGCCAGACGGGCAGCGTGGTGGGGTGGGTTAGGGGGATGATGCGGCCTGAGCCAAATCTTGCCCATTCCATTCTCGCCCTCCCGCTCCCCTCGGTGGTTGTCATGTGGGAGTGGGCAAGGAAAGGAGGAGACCGAAAGCAGTCAACCCCTCTGATGACTGGGGACCCAAAACGGGTAGGGATGGGGCGCCCCTCACCCGTCTCCGTTTACATCAGTGACGGTCACCGAGTGTCCAAAATACGAAGCCATCTACAGGAAGAGGAGGCATACTTAATTCCTGCCCCTAGACCGTCACCCTCTCTTACACATTGCCCCTCCCACCCCTGGAATATTCTAGGGTTCCAATTCCCAGGTTCGGCCACCCCCACCGTGGCGGGCCTCCACCTGCTCTCCATGCAGCTTGTGCAGCGTCTGGTGGTACGAATTCAAAATTTCCACCTGCACAGAGAATGCAAGGAGCGCCTCATTCTTGCTCCCCAGGAGAGCCTCCCATTCAGTTGAGAAAAGGCAGGAGGTTTAGAGGGCTTGTGAGGCTGAGGAGTGGGGTCGGGGGCTTTGGGATGCCCTGTGGCGGGACAGGGGGCACTCACCGCTCCCAGGGTCCAGCTCCAGGTGGGGGCACCGAGGACATACTCTGGGGAGAGCCGTACCCCAGTGAATGAAGTCCTTTGAACCTACCCACCCCACCTCCCACCCGCCATTCTGAAACCCAGTGGAGACTTCGTGTGGGGCTTGTAAGTGCTCCTCCCTGGGTTGAGGTTCCCAACCTTTGCCCTTAAATGGATTTCTTGCCTGTAGTGTTGAGATCCCCGTCGAACTCTCCCACCGCCACCGAGTACCCTGAAGACACAGCACGAATTACTCTTTCTGAGAGGGCGAAGCAGGGAGAGTGCCAAGAGCCAGGAAGAAAGGGTCTCAGGGACCACCCAGGCCAAACCCTGCATTGTGTTGATGGGAAAACTGAGGCCAAGCCCCGCCCTAGGCCGCGCTGCGAATCCAGGGTGGCAAAGGTAAGCAGGGGTATGTGGGACTTGCGCCGTGGCGGAGAAGCTGTGGGCGCAGAGCGTGAAGGCGCCTTAGGTGCTGGGTTGGCCAGCCGAGTTGGCCTGAGGGCGCTCCCGCAGGGGCAGGACCCAGCCGGCTGAGGGCGCGGTGATGCTTAGAGGGCGCGGGGAGGCCTAGAAGGGAGGGGCCGGGATTACCCCGGTAGCCGTCCTCGTACTCCGGCTCGTAGGAGTCCAAGGTGAAGCTCTGAGAGGCCACGTGCCACAAGAGGGTGCCTGGGCGGTAACTCGAGACGATAGTGGCAATGGGAGCCCGCGCCAGCAGACCTAGGGCGCGAGAGACAGCGGGTGTGGGGACCCAGACTCCTGGAGTCTCCCCAGGCCCAGAGAAGGGAGGGAGGTGTACAGATGGTCAGGTACCTAAGAAAAAATAGCCGCCAGGGGCCCCAAGCACCAGCTCTCCAGCCTGAAAGGGAAGCCCTGGAAGTGAGAAGGAACCCTGCTTGGGAGCCACCCCCACGCCGCTTGGGCTCCCTTCTCGCCTGAGTAACCACCGAGCTGAAGCCCGCTTCGCAGCAGCGCCGGTCGTCTATTGGTGGAGGGAAGGAGGAGGAGTTAGCGAAGGGGCGGATCCGGGAGTGTGTGCGGGCGTCGGGGCCGGGGCGGGGCCGGGGTGGGGCGTAGGAGTTGGGGGCGGAGCTGAGGGGGGCCGTGGGTGGGCGGAGGCCAAACGGAGAGCAGCACTCACTAAAGCCGTTTTTCTGGTAAACCTGGCTCATGGTGTTAGCCCGACAGGGCGAGTACTCCGCGCGGGCGCCATTCTGGAGCTGAGCCAGGAAGCAGCCACCTACGGGCGTCTTCTCAGCCTCTTCGGTCTTTTCTAGGGCGTTCCAGTGCTGCCAGGGGGCGCAGGCCTGGAGCAGGGCCACAGGAGAGTGGGGAACCAGCGGGAGTCGGGTCCCCCCCCTCCACGTGTCCCTGCCCCCCGACTGCTCTCGGTGTCCCGTGCCGCAGCGCCCACCACAATGTTGTCTTTCCAGCTGACCACCGACGCCCCCAGTCCTTGCCGGGACTTGAAGGTTTGGAAGGTGTAGGAGCCTACGTGTCGGGTCTCATCATCTGGAGGGCACAAGCAGGGTGCGGCGCTGAAGCACGGCTGTCCACGCCCCCTGTAGCCCCTCCTTTTCCCTCCTCGCGCTGGACTCACTGAGGTCGAAGGGCAGCAAGGTGCACTGGCTGCCCTCGGCCTTCCAGGGGCAGAGGAACACGCCGCCTGTCTCCTCCTGGCTGGGGCCTAGGGTCCGTGGGGCGCCCACCACGATGGCCACTCTGCATAGGAAAGCTGGGTGAGCGCGGGGCGAATCCCGAGGTACCACATGCCCTGGCGCCTGTGCTGAGAGCACTACCCAGAAGGGCTGTGTGCCTTGGAGGGCACCGGATCATCTTCCCTCAACCAGACATCACAGACCGTGGAGGTCAGCCTGTTGATGTTATGGCCAGGGAAACTGTCTCCCGGCGGGGAAACCACGTGCGTAATTTAGCAAGTTAAGGGTAAAGCTGGTACTATAACCGTTTAGTTTGGTTTGAATATGAAGAGTTTGTCGTCCTTGCTGAAAAAGATCTCCTAAGGTCTGCATACCACCCACACTCCACATCCCACACCCTTGTGCCCCACACCGTAAGTCAGGGGTTTACATGCTCCCTGAAATTTAAGACTGTTACCAGATACCTTCCTGAGAGCTAGGTTTAATGGTGATTAGGGAAGCTACTGAGCACCTCTAAAGTGGGGGTACTGATATAACTGAGGACCTTAGTAGATGTAAGTTCAAGTCATAGTTCTACCATATATAAATTGGGGACAATAATGCCATGTTTTATTTTCTTTCTTTCTTTCTTTTTTTTTGTTTGTGTTTTTTTTTTTTTTTTTTTTTTTTGAGCTCACAGGATGTTTAAGTAATGCCTTTGAGGTCAATATCTGCAGAAAGAAAGGGAAGAGAATGCCTGTGTGGCTCAGTCAGTTGTGTCTGCCTTCGGCTCAGGTCAGGATCCCAGCGTCCTGGGATTGAGTCCCATATCCAGCTCCTTGTTCAGCAGGGAGCCTGCTTTTCCCTCTGCCTGCTGCTCCCCTTGCTTGTGTGCTTTCTCTCTCTCTCTGACAAATAAATAAAATCATAAAAAAAAAAAATCTTAAAAAAAAAAAGAAAGGGAAAGGAACAGGAGTAGGCAGAGAAAGGAGTATGATGCAGATTCAGGCCCAATGACAGGTGTGGCTCAACATCCTAGGAGCTCTGGAGCTAGAAGGACCTTTCAGAACCATCCCAAGTTGAGGTGAGAACATCAGACCCTTCTACCTCTCTCCTCCCTCCACAGTCCTCATCGATCAACCACTGGTTGTAGGCCACCTTGGAAAGGGGACTTTGGGGGAGGTGACTCTTCAGCAGAGGAAATCCCCCAAGAAGCAGGTACTTGAAGACTGTCTGCCATCCCCAGGGGTGGGCATCCCAGCAGCTACCACAATAAGTCACTCATGCAGGGTAGTTACTATAAAGAGAAGGAACCAGGACTCTATTCTTGGAAGTCTGATTTTGCAGCTGACTAATTCCAGCCATGAATGCTCCATTGTTTCTTTTCAAATATTTGTAATTTTGATGGGAATGAGGGGCATGGAGTAGAAAAGCAAGGTGGGAGTGGGGCAAGTCATTTTAAGACATGTGCTCCTCTCTGTATTTTGAGGAGACCAAGGTGGCATAGGTCATACAACTGAGCCTTGAGGGAAAAATAAGCCATCAACTTTTATCTTCCCTTTGTTCTGGCTGTAGCGTTGGTGCCCACCTCTGCATGTGTGCCCCTCCCTGACACTCTAACCTGAGCTAGTTCCTGCCAGTATTCCTAAAAAGAGCTCACTCTGAAATAGAGCCTGAAAGTCTCTTTGCTCAACCTCTAGGAAACAAATGGGGAGCTTGAGGCTCCCAGAAGTGGTGATGGTCTCTCCCAACACCCAGACTTCAACCCAGGCTCACCTCCCATGGTTGTCCTTGTAGAAGTCCAGTGAAAACCCAAAGTGGCTGCCATTGGGGCCCGTGTACAAGGTGAGTTGCCTTGGGTCCAGGTTCAAGGCCCAGGCCGGAGGGATGGCCCCAGGTCCCAAGAGCAGCTGCACCCACTCCAGAAGCCAGAGGCCATGAAGTGGATACACAGCTCTGGCCATCTTCCTTCTCCCACAACCTCCTCGGCAGGAATGGACTAGCTCCTTCCTCTTCCTTTCGGTCTCCACTGCAGGAAGGCTTTTCTTATCAAACTGGAACCCACTTGCTGAGCAGTAGGCAGAGGAAGGGGCTACAGGCCCTGGAACCATATGGTTTCTTGGATTGCGGGGAAGGGGGTGAGGCCACCCTGGGGGTGGATGCTAATGGCTGAAAGGCATGACTCCTCCCTTTTCCTGAGAGTAGTTTATCACCGAGTCCTATTGGTTCTGCCTCTTAACTATGTCTCTTGAATCTTCACATTTCCACCACCACCATGCTAGTCGAAGCCACCATTCCTTTCTGCTTGGGGTGGCGTAACCGTGAACTGGTCCATACACCTTCACTCCAGCCACTTTACAGCTCTTTGTCCCGCCTCACAGCTGCCTGCAGTGCTGTGGCCCACTGTGACTTGGTCAGCGGTGGAGGAAGGAGGAACCTGTTGTCCCTTGATAAGACTTGAGGCTGCTGTATCCTTTTGGATAACGCACTTACCCACTTCCTCTTTCAGGGTCTTGGTCAGCCATATTGGTGCAGCAAGCTGCTTTACTCTCCCTCCATCTCAAGCCAGGTCTTAGTGCCGCCATCACAGTGCAGCCAGTGCTGGCAAAGGGGAAAGGAGATGCGGTTAGAGCGCAGTCCAGGTTATTCTGGCTCACAGGCTCTGGGACCAGACGCCAGTTGTTCAGCTGAAGGCAGACCCTCCACTGTTTCTTGGGTGACAGAGCTCTTGTCCAGTCAAGACTTGATTCTTGTGGGGTCATTGCCTAGGGGAAGCCTCCCTCGATTTCCCCAGGCTGGCACTCTGCAGTTGACACATGTGGGCACAGCCCTTATCACGCTGTTTAGTCATGGTCCATTCATGGACTTGCTTGTGTCCATGACTCACTCCCTCGAGAGTAAGGTTCCTTTCTGCGGCCACAGGGCCTGGCCAGGAGTCCTGCACCTAGTAGGCATTGCTGACAGACGGACTGAACAGGAGTGCGCACTGAGGGTAGATGATACAAATGTAGTCACACAGTGGAAAGAGAAGGAACGGTTCTGAGCAGAAAGGCAAGGTAATTTTCTCTGGATGACAGAAGAGGAGTGTCAAATCTTACGGCACTGCAGGTCTTCCCCCAGAAAGCAGGTTCTCAGGAGGGAAATTCAAGAGATCTGCTCCCGGTCAAGGAAGACTGCTGCATCCTCCTTTTGCTCTCTATTTTGTAACCAAACTTAACCACCATCTTTATCCCGCCCAAGGATCCTTATTTTTCCCCTAAGATTTTATTTGAGAGAGCGAGCATGAGCGAGGAGAGGCAAAAGTAGAAGCAGACTCCCCGTTGAGCAGGGAGCCCAACATGGGGCTCGATCCCAGGACCCGGGGATCATGACCTAAGCCGAAGGCACACGCCTAACCGATTGAGCCACCCAGGTGCCCCCTGCCCAGCTATCCTGTGCCATCCCGGAATCCTTTCAGCTCCTCTGTTCCCCACACAATTCACCACCTCAGCACCCAGCTCAAAATCCTATCCCTTACTTGATTCGTAACTGGATGTGGTAGGGAGGTGCCCAAGTTAATTCAAAGCTTTGGCGCCTGGCTGGCTGGTAGGACAGTGGTACCACCAGCTGAAGTTGGAAATAGGCGAAGGCTCTGATTTGGGAAGGGAGAGAAGTTTGGTATTCGAGAATTCGGTTTCTCAAGGGTGTCCCTTCCGAGCCAGGGCTGGGTTGATCTCCCTTCTGAGACAGTAGCCGTGGAGTGTTGATCTGTTGCTCCCACTTTCCCATCCCATCAACCCTGAGTCGTAGAATTCCTCAATGAATCCAAAGTTTTGTTAAGGCTTCATTAAGTCGGTAATTATTGAATTTCTGGAGCCCCTGGTGGCTCAGTTGATTAAGCATCTGCCTTCAGCTCAGGTCATGATCGCAGGGTCTTGGGTTCAAGCCCTGCCATTGTGCTCCCTGCTCAGCAGGAGGCCTGCTTCTTCCTCTCTCTGCCTGGTTCTCTGCCTATTTGTGATTTCTGTCAAATAAATAAAATCTTTTAAAAAATTATTGCATTTCTATGTGCCTGGCACTGAGCTAGGTGATGTGGATACATAAAAATCCTTTATCATCTTTGATGCTTCCTTGCTAAATCCTTGCATAGTCCGCAGTTAATATTTTCTTTGTTCATATTTAAAAATATAGTCAAAATGTTTACTATGTGTTCAACTTTATGTAAAACACTCTAAGGGACTTAGAAAGAATAAAAGAAGAAATAAAAAAAATAAAAGAAAAAAATAAAAGAAGTGTTAAGAATCAGTTCTTTTCCTCTCTGAGCTTACAATTCTACTGGGAAGCAGGAAATATAAAATGAATCACACCCAGATTCTTGAAAGCCAGTAAGTTCACATGGAATGGGGAGTTAGATCCTGGTGAGCCCAGCCAGGAAAATGCTGCAGTAATTCAGACAAGAGCTGATAAAGGGGAGGTGAAGGTATTTCTGGCAAATAGTGAAAATGGTTGACGAGGCCCAATTTAGTATCAAGGGTGCAGGAGAGGGAGTATGTCCGTGTTCCTGCTCAGGTAGCTGAGGCAGGGAGCTGAAAGAACCTTACTGGAATTAAAGCCACACACACATCTCCCCCTACCAGCGTTCTCTGTAGGCCAGTCTGCCTCTTTCACCGCACCCTGCCCGCTCAGAAAGTCACTTTTATTTCCTAACATGCCTTCTTTCTGGGCAGGGATTTTGGTATTTTAGGGAAATAGGCAGATCTCAGCATCCAACCCAAGGTTCAAATTGAACAGCTTCCCTCCAGTCAAGGGGAGCTGTATGAGAGAACAGGAAAGACACATTGTACTACTCCTTCCTGAAAGGCTGAGGGAGAGAGGAAAGCTTCTCACTGTAAATCTATGGTTAGCTTTTGATGCTTAACTTTCTCTGCTTTTTGTGATTTTTTTTTTTTTTAAAACAGAAGAGTAGATAGAGGCTTTTATCTGCTCTAACAATTACAGCACATTTCCTTTTACCAGCTAGCTTTCAAGCACTGCAGTGTTATTAAAAGGTTAAGGAGAACAGAAGACTGGTAGGGTATACAAAACTCCACTTGGAAGGCAAAGGCCAGGCAGGTGACTTGTAATCCCATCACCCTGAAGTTCATCCCAAATTCCAAAAACCCAAGCCAGAAATCCCAAACCCATTTAGTGAGCACCTACATGCCCTACATTCTACCGCACATAGATTACAGATCTAAACTGAGGAAAAAAGGAGACACGGAAGAGAATTCTTGTGGGAGAGTGGAAAGGAGGTGCACATTCCAAGACACCCACCTAAGACTGAAAGAAAATTAACCGCGATTATTTCCTTCTACAGCACAGTTTCCCCCCTTTACTTGGGCAGCCTGTTGTGAGCAGCTAAATCCCAAACATCATAAGCAACTCATTCACAAGAATCCATTTCCTGATCATTTCACAAAATGCTACTGGTGACCCGTAACGCCATCCCTTCCCAGTTTGGGCGGATGGGACAACAATCACCACAGACTCTGCCACGTTTCCACAAATCATTGGTTTATTAGAAAGTTCCTTTCCCTAATTTTACAGCATATATATCTCTATCATATGTGATAAAGTTAAATACAATCTGTAATGCTTGTAAGTAAGGATAGGTTATTTTTTCTTTTTTTTTTAAGTTTTAAAATCACTGTTCTGAAAGTTACAGAAAACTGCCCCCTGGAAGGGAGAGAGGCAGCCAGAGTATGGCTCCATCTACAAGCTAATGGGAAGCAGCACAAAAGTGTTAATACTGTATTATTTAAATATTTACATGGGCTGAAAGCAAAGAAAAATGAGTCCCTTCACTTCGAACAGGTGATTTCATCTTTCCAGTGCTAGTTATCAAGAGTGAGGTTTCTGATCGGATGAGGAGCCTGGACAGGCAGGAGGCTCAGTCACGATCCTTGTTTGCCCAGCACTTGCTTCTCATAAACTCAAAACCTTTTTTTTCTTTTGGGAATCTGAGAAGAAAGGCAGAACACAGAGCCTCGGGCCAAGCAAGCAGGGTTTGCTTCTTCCTGTCCAGGGACCTCCCAACCAATTTTAGCCACAGGAATACGGAGGGAACCGCTAACTGCGCCGAAGATGAGACCTGCAATATAAACGGGTCGGTGTGTTAGGTCTGAGAGCCCAGGGGAAAGGCAAGAGGAGGAAGAGGAACTGAGGTGGTACTTCCTCTGGTAGGCGTCATGGAAGGAAAAAAAAATCTTCACTGCTTCAGCAAGGCTGGGCAGAAGGCATGGAAACTGTGAAGCAAAAGAATCTGCAGTATCTAGAACTGTGCTCACCTCCCCACATGAGGAGGAGAAACTGTCCCAACTCTATCGTCAAGTCTACTTCTTCTTCAGTTTCTAGCCAACCCAAAAGGCACATTAACAAAAAAAAAAAAAAAAAAAAAAAAGTCAGAGGGGGCTAAGTACTAGGAAGGCAAACAGACTGCCTGGAGCAAGGCACCCAGGAAACCCAGGAAACCCCCCCCCAGACCATCACTCTGAATCTCACTGCTTCCGCACAATATAGCTCTCGAATCTCTCCTTCCTCCTCTGTGGGTCTTCCTGTTTCTCTGTACAAAACTGCAAAGCACGAGGGAGAGGTCTTAACTGAGGATCCCTCTGACACCCACAGCTGGCTGCTGCCCATTAGTTCAAAAATCCCAGTGCTGGGGGCACCACTTACTGCAAGTTAACTAAACGTTTCGTCCCAGCAAAAGATGTTAAACAATGTTCTTTTTGTTTTAACATTTTTATAGTTCATAACTTCAAAAAATACATGAGCTTGATAAAATATACATGCTTAGTCATTTTTGCATCTAGCAGAAAACAGATACTTTATTTTTTGTTTTCATTTTATAACCTTTAAAGTTTCTTAATTCATCTAGGGCAAACATATTTACACAAAGCCACCAGAACAAGGATCACTTAAAGAGCTGGATGTAAAAAATATTATTGCAGTATACTACAAATATGGAACCTTTTTTAATATGAGCTACAAAAAGCAGCATTTACGTTTATAGAGTTCAGTGCAATTTTTTACATTTAAAAAAA